TCTGTCTGTCTGTCTGTCTGTCTGTCTGTCTGTCTGTCTTTTTTTCTTTATTTTACTCTTGCAAACTGCACACTATTGTTATTCTAGTTCAGTGTATCCATCCTTAATAACACTGTGCCCCTTCTTATTCCCCAAAATCCTATCTAGTAATCTGAGTTGGCTGACACATAAAATGCCCGGCAGAGACTGAACTTGCTGGAGAAAGTAAAGTGATACAACCTTCTGCAGGAACTTCAGCTCACTGTCTAAACCACCATCATTTTCTCTGTTTTTGCACATTTATCTCTGTGTGGTTTCTCTCATTAACAAAACAGAAAAAGGTTGATGCCTGCAGAAGTCTAGGGCCAAAAAAGCAAGTAAACCTCTGCCAATAATCTTTAACATTTTGGCTGGCATTAGAGGGCGATAATAAGCAACACAAAGAGCCTGTCTCTGCTGAACACACACACACACACACACACACACACACACACACACACAGAGAGAGAGAGCAGTATACTAGAACAATTACATTGCCTCTTTTATTTTACAAATAAAAGATGGGCTGCACATGCATACTTGTATACTATATATGGTTCAACATTTTACCTTGCCCTTTTTATCTCTTGTTAGAGTTTTCTCTACATAATGTTTATATTGTTTAAACTGTTAATTATGGTGTAAAAGATGAAAAACTAAGGTCAAAAGCCATGTTTGTGAACACAACCTTTGCAGTGAAAGTTAATTTAAAAAAAAAATGGCACAAATGACTTAAAATTAAGATAGAGATTTTTCTTTCAGCAGGACAAAATCATATACCAGAACTATAGCTGTGGTAGAATGGTTTACAGATAAATAGCATTCATTATTCATTATTGATGATTTAAATTTAAAGGTTTAAACCTAAATACTGTTAAGACTCTGTGGCATATAGTTACTCTCCTAAAGTGGCACAGCTTTAGAGAAATTTGTATAGATTTCAAAACTTAATAGACCCACAAACCCAAAGCATTTGCAAAAGCTGGTTCTTTAAAAATATTGCTTTTGAGAGACTTCTGAAAGCATTTAAAATTTGTTTTCCCCCTTTACTTTTCCATTACATAAGGTCCAATGAAATATTAGGCTTTTTGTAAGATATCATTCATGCTCTATGTAAATGTTATATTTCTGTGGTTGAATTTCCTGTAAGAACCAAATGAAACACGGATTATGCATTTGATGAAGATGGTACTAAAACTATGAAAACTTGCTTTATATTAAATAGCCAATTTACAAGATGTCATATGGATTATTTGTATATATTTCTCCTTATTTTTCTGTTGTTGTTTTAATTAAATCCTCAATTTTCATCTATTGACATTTAAGCTTTCTGTGACGTTATTGAAGACGCTGTCCAAGGTGCTAATTTCAGGTCGTTTTGTGGGAAAACACTGCCATCCAGTGGATATTTAGGGAAGGTGCATTCAGGAGCAAAAGGTTTTGTTTCTAGCCGAACCACAAAAACAGTTGCACCTTCAGTACAGTTAGCTAGCATTTGACATTTCTGTTTTGGTAAGTTCAGCTCGCTCTATTAATCTCTTTAGCTTATAGAAATGTTATATATAAACACAAATTATAAAAAAAATTAGCTTAATAGTAAACATTTCATGGTGTTTAATTACATTTGGTCAGGCTTAGCGCATTATTACCGAGAGATGCTAACCTATGAATGTCCTTCGTTGCCTAAAGTTAATTTAATCCCTTTTCTAACTTGAATTTTAAGAGCCTTTATAATTAAACACGCACTCTTAAATCTATTATACATAGCCCAGAACTGTCGTAATCTGAGTTAAAAGAAACTTCTCGCCATGGTGATGCGCATTTTCTTTAATTATACAAATGTTTTGTTTTTATTCCTGCTGCTGTGATGCCTTTCGCCTCTGGTTCTCCCAGCCGATGGACTGAGATCAGCCAGTAAAGATGCTACTGAAAGATCTGCCCAGAGAAGCCTTGATGAGGCCCCTTTCCAGGAATGAAGTGATTGGGATGTTGGTGAGGCTGAGCATCTTTGGTGCTGCTACATACTACAGCATCAAATGGGTTGTGGACGCCATGGACCCCACCTCTAAACAGAAGAGCCAGGCCAAAAAAAGGGTATGTCATAATAGGATGTCCTGCAAACCAAGCTTAACGATATGGTCATGTTTTTTAAGCAGCATAACATTGTTTATTTTTATTTTGTTTAAGTAAATTAAAGCAGTGGCAGGAAATAAACCTAATCATTATTTGCTTGTTTATTTCTGCCTTTGCTTTTACTAGTTTATTCAACCATCTTTTTGCTGCAGGGAGAACCTAAAAACATTTGCAAGGCTGTTGGTAACAAAGTGAAAGGTCTTGGAAAATGTCTTCATCCACTCTTGTCACTTAAATTTGTCTGGTTTCTGTTTGGATTTAGGTCTGAAAATTAAGGTTATGGAGAAGGAACTGATTCCATGTCTGATTAATTGTGTCTGCATCAGTTCTTGCGTATGTTTTTTTCATCAGATAAGATTATAAGTCCAATATTACTACAGATAGACCTTTTTATTTATTGTTTTGCCAAATCATTAGTGCGTTCAGCAGCCTTGCCTTAAGATCATGTAAGGCACTCGCATTGCAGCTTTCTCCATTTGCTATCCATTGTTGATGGGGTTTTTTTTTGTTTGTTTTTTTATAAATGTTTCTTTTTGTTTAAATTGAGACTTATGTAACATTTGATATTCTTGTGTTGTTTTTATAATTTAAATGGAGGAAGAGGAATATATATTGGCCTAAAGAATCAATTGGCTTGACTATTGTTAAAATAATTGGCATTGGCCTTAAAGGAATAGTACACCCAAAACATGATTAGCCTTCATTTTCTACTCACCCCCATGTTGAACAACACTCTGGAGTACTTTTTTGATATCTCAAATGCATCTGGAGATCTGGGAGGCTTCTTGCTGTCTGCTGACATTCA